ATTCATAAATATTCTTTTCGATGACTTGATAATATTATATACGCATTTTTATTGTCAATATATATTATTTAAAACTGTTTAAGTTTATTTGATCTGATAGTATATAAATTCTTATAACTACATTTGGTTTAAGTAAACTATAAGTATAGCTAGATAACTCTTCGTAACAAACCTTAGTTACATGACAACTAAAAAAATAAAACAATAACATATTATAACTGATTAATTACAATAATAAAAAATTAAAAAATGTGCACGATGATAATTAATTAATTACTAACCTTGTAGATATAAATAGTAATTGAATATGAAAGACCATATTGAGTTGATATTGGATATATAGCAGCACCAAGTGCAATCTCATGGCTAATTTGTACAAAACCAGGACAAGTTAAATCAAAGCATCCTGTTTCTCTTGAGCCATCATTCTATATATTAAATTAAAAAAACAAGTTCAATTATTATATGATTTAATTAATTATATAAATTAATTAACAATTAAAAAAAACTAAAAATACTTACAGTCCAATAAGTGAAAAGTCTTGTTTGCCTATCACCATAAACCCTTGGATTTACCTAAAAATGTTAGAAATCAACTATTTAGTAAAATGTTAGTATAGTTATATTTGAAAAATCGTATATAATGACAATCTAATAAATCAAATTAAATGTTATAATCACATTTTGATTAAATTGTGCCACGTAGCAAACTGTTTGTCAGTCACCTCTCTCCCTTAAACTCAAGCTCACCACTCTTCCTCTCTCGCTAGCTCCCTCTTACTTTTATACAAACACAAGTGTATAAAATGTGTTTCTGTTAGTATGAAGCGAGAAAAAATTATATATATACATATGTTTTCGTTCCGCTCTCCCAGATCTTGCTCGTCACCCTCGTCTCTATCGCTTATACTAACAGAAACGAAATGTATAAATTGTGTTTTTGTTTGTATAAAGCGAGAGAAAATTGTATATACACTTGCAAATACATATATCTTCGTCCTATACACTTATAATTATGCAATACATATATTCCCCTGCCCAATTTTCTTTTGTCTTTCTCTCTTTCTCGTTTTATACATACACAAATTATACAATTGATTTGTATACAACTTCTTTCTTTTGTATATGTATAACGGATTATACAATTGGTTTCTTTGTATATTTACAGCGAATTATACATATTTATGTTTGCTATGGAGCACAATTATGCAAACTTTACTTTAGCATAAAAATTTAAATTTTGTGTTTGCTATATGTAAAAGTTATTTATAATAGAATAGATAACAACATTCTTCATACGTTTTATGTGGTATTATCAATATGATGCTATAAAGAGATTTGACTGTAATTATACTTTATGAAATTAATCGAAATCAAGAACTAACCATCCATCCAGATTCAATGTCTTGATCATTATAGTAAGATCCACTCTTGAGAGTAAGTCTAGAAGTGCTATATTCATCATCTTCTTCATCATGAGGATTTCTAGTTATCATATCTGTTTTTCCTCCAACATATCTATATCCTTCTGTAATCAATATAGCCAACTTCATTTAAAAAAAAAATAGGGTTAGAAAAAATATCATAAGAAAAATAATTAAATTTATGCATTGACACTAATAAGTAGGATCAGAGCTAGAATTTTGATTACGAATTTGGCAGATATTTTAAGAAATTCTCTTAGTGTAATACTTATAAATTAATTATCCAAAATTAATAAGTTTTTCTTTTATAATTGTTATTACAAGTATTAATTAGTACATACTTGTTAATTTCTTATTATAGATTAAATTATACTTATAGAAAAATCATAATTTCTCTGTCCCATTTTATGTAACACTTTTCGTTTTTTGAGAGTCAAACAGTTTAATTTTGACCGAATATTTGTGTATGGAAATTTTCAATTTTTTTAAAATGAAATTTATATATTTGTTAACTACGTAAAGAGTACTATAAGTCACAATAATTGATAATCAAAATGTTAAAAAGATCTACGATCTCGAAATGCGAAAAGTGATACGGAGGGTGTAATTTTAGAGAACTTACTGAGTGATTTTTTTGTGTAAGGTTGATATCCTTTTTGATCTTCAATCCTTTATCAAGATGAAATAAATTAGGCTTCTTTATTTGATCCTTTTTAATATTTTGTGTTCTTCTAATTGGAATTGTCCCTTTTGGACAACTTCCATTTTTATGCCATATTTGTGTTGTCACACATTTATATGATTTTTCTTGATCATTTGTCATCTGTCATAAAAAAATAAAAGAAATAATTAAATAGATGAAAAAATATATTTTTTTTAATTGCTAGATCAATATATTTTAATATGTTATAGTAGATACTAGATGACTCACTTTATTTCATATTACTAGTTGCTTCCACCTTTTTATAACACAATGTAATTATCATATACTTGATTTTATGGTGAATTTTTATTTTTATTTTTAAAAATTAATTATCAATCACTATAATAAAAATAACTTTTAACGGTAATAAATATTAATAATAATAAAGAGTGTTAAAGTCTTTACCGGCATGTCATTAGAAACAATGTCATTAAAGGCTTTAGAGATATAGCGATAATTAAGAATTAATTTTCGTATAAAAGTTTCCCCTAATTAATTAAGCTACTTTCTATTACTATATTGATGTAAAGTGATATTAATTATTGAATGAACCTGAATTTTGTGATTTTTCAAGGCAGGATGAGATAAAGTTGGTTGCTTGAAAATATCAATGCAGTCAATGACATCTCCATCTTCACTCTAACAAAAAAATTGGAAAAAAATATAAAATCAAATAATACACTTAATGTATGAGATGAACATTTGTATATTCAATAAGAAATTAATTATAATAAATGTAAAACTTTTTTATATGGTATGGTGATATATATAAAATTTTATACAAGAGAAAAACTTATAATGTTTTACTATATACTAATGATCAAGTCATATAGCTGTGAAAAAATAACATCAAGGAAATAAATAGTATCTTGTAATTCTTAATCAGTAGTCTCGAGTTTGAATCTTACGTAAGAATTTTTTTTAAGCGAGGTGCAACTCTTTAAATAGGCCTTACGTATACGACAATAATAATTCAACTTATTTAAGTCTCAGTATTGATATCGAATATCAGGCCTAACAAAAATAAAGAAAATGAAAATATATGTTTTTTTAATATAATATTTATAAAGATACATACATACCTGGATGCTTTTAATTACAACAAGACCATTTTCTCCCCAGACAAATGTTGCAAAAGTAATTATTTCCAACAACAATATGGCTATTAATTTGAATGCCATTATTTCACAAAGAAAACTAATTTAAGGATCCAATTAATTTATTGAATAATTGTAATGATTATATAATTAATGATTTATAAAAGTGTTGATGTTTCATGAAAAACATCAGGTTTAAAACTAACCTTGATATAGATTTGCATGACTTACCTACTATTCTAATTTGTAACACAATTTATAATGCATTTTGTTTTATACCTATCTTTATTTGAATTTATTACTTGTTTTCGTAGTTTTGTATTATGTCTGGTACTGATATTAGAGTCCTAATCAATTTAAAATTATGTAATGTAAGATTTGTGTAAGAGAAAATACTCTCTGTCGAAAAAAAATTCATATTCGAGAATTTAGAAGAATCATATGTCCATTATTCTTTCACATTAATTCTTGATGACCTTTTGAGATTTTGTTATGTACTCCCTCCATTATACTACGGAACAACACGACTGCAATACCAGATATACTTATCGACAAGAAGAAAGAGGGGTCTAAGAAGGTCAAATTACATAATTTTCGAGATAAACTCCCTACATGAATGATGATTAAGCTTTTGGGGATAAATAATTTGATACTACTTTAAAAAATGGAAAAAGTTCAAATATATATACCTATGTATATAGTGTATACATATACTATACAATTTAGAGCATATATATTTATGTATTCACTTTAAAAAAGTAATCCTTTTATATTTTTGTAGTTACACGAATGATTTTTTTTACATAGTAAAAATCGTATGACTTTAACTAAAGATTAAACCATGATTACATTTATCCTCTTACTTTAAAAAATAATCTCTATTTAACCTTCATAATATCATTCAAATAAATATACTTTTATCGTTATCAAACTCAAGATAGAAATACTAAAATCTCCACTACTATAACAAGTCACATTCTTTTGTGTAAAAGAACAAGCATATCTCATATTTATAAAATTAATAAAATTATTTAGCGTCAATTTTTAAACTTTTAGCGCCATTTAAATAAATTACACGAAAATAACCTCCTAAAATAGATAAACTCGTTACGAAGTTATGACAAATCACAAAAAGAAACCTAATCAATAAATGTTTATAACTTCTTAATAAATTATTTCATAATTCTCAAAAATAGTTTTTTCTTTAGAAATTTTCACCAATACATTTTTGCAGTTATAAAAAATAATTCTTAAAATATTTCAAAATTTGTTTTCTTTTTCAAAATCTTTTATTAAAAACTAGCTGTGTTTTTGTAAACTGAAAATTCCTTTTAAAAAAAAGCCCAAGCCAAAAAATCAAAATTAATAATCAAATATTAGAGGGGATAATCATAATTATCATTAATCAACAAACTATTTAAGGGGTTTTAGCCGTTTTGGTGGGGTTTTAGGGTTTCTGTCTCCACTTTGAACTTGGACTTGTTTTTCTATATGATTTTGCTTCTGAGTTAAGGTTTTAGCATTGGCGGCTAGGGCTTCAAATATTTGTGAGTTTTTTTTTTCATATTGAAAATCAATTGCATGTTTAAATTTTGTTATAAAGATTGAATTTTTATTTAAATTAATCATATGGGTGTTCTTGTAAGTGATTAAATAACAAGATCAGATTCATGTTTGCTATACATTATTTGTGAGTTTTTTTTTTTTAATATTGAAAATCAATTGCATGTTTAAATTTTGTTATAAAGATTGAATTTTTATTTAAATTAATCATATGGGTGTATTCATGTTTGCTATACATTCTTGTTTGCAGCATGGAATATTTTATTTTATTTTTTGATTTTTTACGCTATGCCATGAATTGAGGTTAAATGGAACAATGATGATTCATATAGCAGACTCTAAGTTGTTTGAAATTGAAATTGAGGTGTAGTTGTTATTTTTTTCTATGAATTGTTGTTTTGAGTCGAGGGTCTATTGAAAAGTCTGCGTAGATCCTATCCTTCCTAGACCCCACGGGGCTATGTTGTTGTTTAACAATTTTTATTGTTGTTTTGTTTTATGATGTTCTGTTTTTGTGCTAAATTTTGAATCTTTATTTCTTTTTTAGAGAACAGAACAGTAGAGTTGGATTTAGTATAAAGAATTGATGTTAGAAAAAGAGAATATGACTTTCTCTGATCAGCCTCAACAGCCTGTTCCCTCGCACTTTATGCAAATGCCATTTGTTGGTGGGGATGCTGAGGACGTTTGGTCTCATTCTTCGATGAATCATGAGCTATTTGAGTCGTATTCTCAGTTTGAGCATGCTCCACCGTTCAAGAGAATGAGGGAGTTTGATAGCAACTCGCCGAATTCTGCAGCTTTTTCTGCGATCAATTCTAGAGTGAATCCACCAAATCTTCCGGGAAGCAAAGGGACGAGCCATATATTTTACAAAACTCGTATGTGTGCTAAGTTCTTGGAAGGAACTTGCAGGAATGGGGAACATTGTACATTTGCTCATGGTGTTGAAGATCTGCGGGAGCCTCCTCCGAATTGGCAGGACTTGGTACGTGAAAAGGATAGAGGAGCGGAAAACTGGAATGATGATCAAAAAATAATACATAGGATGAAAATTTGCAAGAAGTTTTATAACGGAGAGGAGTGTCCATATGGAGATAAGTGTAATTTTCTTCATGAACGTCCTCCAAAATTTAAGACCGACATGCCAAGGCACAGAGAGAGTTCTGCTATAAGTATCGGAACTACTGGAAACAGATGTGATACCGAGCTGATTGAGATTAGCAAGCATGGAAATGCTGATTCAGATGCTGTCCGTATTAAACCTGTATACTGGAAGACGAAGATATGCAGCAAGTGGGAGACAACAGGTCAATGCCCCTTCCGTGATCGTTGTCACTTTGCTCATGGCCAATCAGGTAAACTAATTTTACACACTTCATCTCGTTGTTAGTTTGACTCTATGTTTAGTCGTTTTTAAATAGTCTCATATTCTTGCTTTCAAGTCTTGCAAAATCCCCTTATATCTTAATTGTAAAAAGTAAAGGCTGCATAATGAAACAGCAAAAGCTTAAGACGAATAATTACGAGCTATTGATCACCAGAAGCAGAACTTTCTGTTGCTAAGCAAGTTCTCTGCTAGAGCTGCAATGGCTCAACTGAGACGAGAATCTGGTATAAAATTAGCTACTGTTTTGTTTTTAAGCAAAGCAGCCATTCAACTCGTGTCTTGTTTCCATAAACATGAGAATCTTGACATTAACTCAATTCTGGATTTACGTCCATATATAATTCCAGGAATTTGTCGTGTTGCATTGTCCTTTGACTGATGTTTTGCACATTCACAGCCATTCGTTGTTTTCAGATTATGAATAATCCTATTTCTTGTTCACATACATTGTATATGCAATTTCTCTCTTTGGTCATATCTCACATCTAAAACAATTAACAATGTATTTAGCTTTCAACGTCTATCCTATGTGTTGATTTTTATAGGCCTATGTGCTACGTATCTCATAAATCTTAAATTTCTTCCGTATGGGATCTTATGTTATAAGTTCTTTGGTTATATCTTTTACCAGAGTTGCAAATGCCTACTGGCCGAGTTGAGATGGATATGTTAACGAATTCTGGCCCCATTACTCCAAGACCCTTCTCCGTTCAGCCTGTTGACTCATCCTCTGCGACCACACTGGTTAATGCTTCTATGCAAGAAGAAAAAGAGGAAAAGAAGATCCATAAATGGAAACTATCCAAGAAAATCAGTCGAATCTATGGAGATTGGATCGATGATCTAGTCCCACCCCACCTCCATCCTGACAACGCCGACAACTGATTTTTATCAACTCTTTTATGCCCAATGGACGCGTTTTAGCAAGGATCAGAAACTACAGGGAGATTATAAACCGTCTTGTTTCATCCAAGAGTTGATGTTATATAAGTTTTTTTTATTTGGCTTCAACAGTTAGGCTTTTGAATTTGAATCTGCATATTTTTTTGTTCATAGAAATCAAATAATGTGACATCTATGGGATTTTCCTTAGAGAGAAACAGAAACATTCATTAATTTATTTATTATACTTTTATCTGAGCTTTTTGTTTATTTCTTGTCTTTAGAGAAACACTCCTGTATGCTTTTTGGAGCATAGAAATGCTCTTTTTTTTTTAAAAAAAAAGAATGATTATTTTTTTTGGTAACATTTTAATTTCAGTTTTTCATGTGACATGTTTAAAGTTACAAGATTACAGGACAATTTTGTATATTTGATATAACTTTAATTTAGGACCACAAGATTCAAAAATATTCTTTATTGTTTTAAACTCTATGTCAAGTCAAACTAGATCATTCCTTGTAAAACGAAAGACGTCTTTTGTAGCAATTTTTTATTGCTGAAGAGACTTGAAGTTCTTGGGCTCTATCTCCAATTCTTAGGTTTTTTGTGTTATGGGAAATGTCGAGCCAGTACTAATTTGATTCACTTAATGCAGCTTTAAAGTCTCATATAATAAAAGATTTATAGTAAATACTATAATAGTATATATGGGCTATTTTGTCAAACATCATTATTATTTTAAAAAAGTAAACAAAATTCTTTCATGTTTTGATCGATAGGGATGGTAATAGAGCGGAACGGATGCTGGGGAAAGTGGGTTTAAGGCTATGTGGGGCGGGGTGAATTTAAGGTTATGTGGGGCAGATCTAATGCGGGGCGGGGCGAATCGCAGATATATGTGATTTTATATGAGTTCAAAACTTAATTTTAATTTTTTACATGTCATAAAGTGATAAAACATTATTTATAATTTCATTAAACTTACTAAAATATTAATGATAACAAATGAAAATGGTTCAATAAAAAAACAATACAATTTTTTATATGTTTTCTAATTGATCTCTAAAAAAATAAAATTTTCAGTCACTATCCTATTAAATTAATATAACTTAATAAAAAAATAAACTTATTTTATGAATTTTATTTTTAGTATCAAATATAACTAGAAAGAGTGGAATTGGTTGAAAATGAAAAGTTTTACTAGGTAGGGCAGGGCGGGGTAGATTAAAATTTTTACGGATTAAGCTCAACCCGCCCCACCCCGCCCCATTTCCATCCCCAAGTAAGCAATACAAATTTATTATTATTATTTCGTACATTTTTTTTATTGTTAGGATTGTGATTTATAAT